TACAGTATTTTTTATGTGGCTCTCTATAAAACCACTATGATAAAATAATACATAATTTAAAAAAAAATAATTAGGAAATCTAAAAAGTGTGACCTATCAATTTTTCCTAATTAACTACTCTTTCTGGAAGACAAACAGTACCCATATTAATAATGCAAAAAGCAGATGCTGTGTGAATACTTGAGGGGATTATGTGGTAGTAAAGGAATCACTGCTGAATATACATCAGCAAAGGAAGAAAATCTGATCTGTAAATTTATGAGCTGTAAATTTGAGCTAATCATTCAATATAATTGAAATGAAAGTGTTTTTAAAGCCAAACATTCAAGCAATTAAGTACCTAAATCATGACTGAATTTTATAATAACAAGGATCGAATATAGCATACAGAAGTTTAAAAGGAAAGGAAGCACAATTAACATACGCAGTGTATCCTGAAAGAAAAATGCAAATGGAACAATGCCTGAAATCCTATATATAGTTGATATCAAACAAAAAAACCCCATAAATAATAAAGAGTTCACATACTTAATGAAACTACATCTTGGACATAGTAGTATCCCCATATCAAGAAGCACACTAGCCTTCTGCCAGTATCCCCTGGCAATATAAAATGTCTTTAGTATGTACATCATATAAATCCCTTATATTAATAATGGAAAATTCCAGTCAAATGTGACTGCAACAAAGATAGAATAGGCAAAAGTATAGATAAACCACCGTGCTTTAGTATTTTCAAATAACAATATTCATTGTCACTGCCGCCAGTTGTAGAAGCAATTTTGTAGAGACAAGTAGTCTCTGCCTAGCCCAGGTATATGGTGTTCAAATGTCCTGGTTTGGTTGAGAAAGTCCTTGAAAAAGAGTCTCACCAACCATCATGACAAAAATCTCTTGTATATTATTTGGCATTTTCTATGAACAAAGAATTTCTCCTATGTGCCCTCATTCAAACTGAAATACGGGAAATTAATGTATTCCAAATAGTGTAGCACTGAGTACTCAGTGGGGAGGTTACATGATGCACCCTTTGCAACTGCATCAGGCCACGTAGCCCAGTTCAGGAGAGCATGTTCCCCTTGTGTCTCCAGAAAGCTCTCTGTCCTTCTAACAAAAAAAAAGATGGTGACTCTACCCTAGGGACACTATTTCTGGCAATCCTTCCTGACCTGTCCAAGTAGGTTACAGAAGAAACCTGTTCCGATGTCTGAGCTCGCTCGCTGGCTTGCTCCATCCATCCATCCATCCATCCATCCATCCATCCATCCATCCATCCATCCAACCACCCTAGAAATGCAGAAAAGAACAGAAGGACTGACTTGGATGATGTGGTTTTTGTTTTTTTTTTCTAACAGGCTGCCTTGCCTCACAATTGAAGCAGAAAAGCCTACAGTCCTTCAGGGCACAGGGTTCTGAAAAAATGTTTCTATAACTAATAACAGTATTACTTGTAAATATTTATTATTTACAATAACCATTAGCAGAACCTTTTAGTATTATGCCCCTGAAAGTGCTAAAGCAGCAATATTCTTGCAATTCTGTTTGGAAAGAAAAGCTTTTGTCCCTACAGAAATTACAATTACTGGGATGCACATCTTGCCAGGGGTAAATAACCCTTCAGATTCCACTAGCATTTTGCAGTTAAGTAACTGTTTTTGCATCCTTCCCAGTCTAACCACATTTAGCTGAACACATTTGGTCCCACCACTGCTGGTCAGTTCACACCATTCTCTTGGCACATACCAGCTGGCCATCAAACAAAAGTCATCATATATATTGCAACTGTCTTCTCCTCAATATTTTTCATACTTTCTGCAAAATTATAGCCAGCTTTGGATTAATTAGCACAGCTGGGAAGAATTAGTCCTTCTTTAGGATAATATTTTAGTTGAAATGTGTGTGAAACAGAAGTCTCTGTAAAAGTATGAGACTTGCAATCAGTTCTGGGAGAACAGAGGCAAGTCACTTGATCCTTTGGTCTGAGACTCTCAAATGCATTTGGCAGTACCAGCACGGTAAGGCTGAACCCCAAGAGTAGCCTCTATCCCGTGAAAACTTCAACCCCAATTTGGCTTCAGCTCCTGCACCTGCTACCTTTTTTAGGTAAGTGATTTATGAAGGAATCCTTAGAAGATGGATAGGAAGTAGCATAAGCTTGTCAGGAGTGAAAGGCTGAGTAAAGAGATAGGCTGAAGCTTAGGTAATGAGTGTGGAGTGGATGGCCAGAGTGAGGGTGGCATTCTAATCACAGGATCTTCAGCTTTGGAGGCATGGCACTGTTTAGCCAGGAGCTTCACCATTTGATCTCATTAAAAGGTGATGTGCAGAAGTTTATTCTTGCATGAGGCTAGGTGGTAGCTGTTTTGATGTTTTGGGGATATCACTGATTCCTGAATTGTGAGCTTATGTGCTTATAGTACCAGAGAGGTCTTCCCTGATGCAGGTCTACACACACTGCATTACCACTGTTTTCTAAACTGCTTTGAAATTCTTGATTGAAAGTATAGAATGAATCACATACTCACGTAGGTTGGAAGTGACAGCTGTAGGGCACCTAGTCTGACATACTGATTGCTCAACGCCCAGCTCAGCCATGTTATGAATATCTCCAAGGACAGATATTTCATAAGCTTTCTGTATACCTGTACCATTTTTTGTCTATCTTCATAATAAAATATCTTTTTCATTATAACTAATCAGATTTTCTTGGTTTGGTTTTTCCAACTTGTATTCATTGCCTCTTGTCCTATCATTGTATATTTTCAAGAAAAGTTTGGCTGTACCTTCCCTATAGCCTTCTATCAGAAAGTTGAAGACAGCTATAAGATCTCCTCTTAGCCTTCTCCTCTTAAGGCTGAAGAAGAGTTACTCTTAGCCCTCCCTAATATACCGTGATGTCCAGGCCCTTGACCTTGGTGGAGCACTGCTAGACTCATACCAGCATGTCCTCACCTGTAACGGAGAACCCAGAACTGGACACGGCACCTCAGATGCGGCCTCACAAGTGCCAAACAGAGGGAAAGAACCACTTCTCTTCTTCTGAGAAGTTCCTTCCTAAGCCATCATCCCATGTTTCATAAGGCACCCCTAAGCCCATCGCATGTTTCACAAGGCAAATTTTTTTTCCCTTTGCTTTTGTTTTTGTTTCAAAATTATGAAGGTCGCTTCATAATGTTCCTGTAAGCCCATTTCCACAGCCTGGCCAGGTCCCTCTTAATAGCATCACTGCCCTTTAGTGTGTGGGTCACTCTCCCCACATTGGTATTGTCAGCGAACTTGAAATATGCTGTAAGCACTCACAGCTAGTACTTGTGGGAAAGGAGGAGGTTGGTGAACAAAGACCTAAATAATCACATTTTTTCTTGGCTTTCTTACAGTAGCAATACTATAGGCATTTTTCCAGAAGACTTTAAAATGATCTTTCCTTTAAAAAAAATTATACTTGTGTGTCTTTTCAAATTAAATAACAACAATCTGAATACTAACTTAAACTTAATTTGTGTTAATTTTTATCATCACGAAATATGGTGCATAATTTTAATTACTGTGGGTCAGCATCTATTATTTTTCTATACTTTGGAAAAGAGAAAGTATAATGAATAATCTATTAGCAGGGTGTATTTTTCATATTACATGGTTTTGTCACTACCTTGAAGAATGTTTGACTGAGCCAGATGTACTAAAAAACCAATTAAAATGTATTTGAAAATTTTAAAGAATACAACAAGAGATTGCATAACGTATCAGATAATAGGAAGGAACTGGAAGAAAACACCTGAAAGCAGACTGAAGAAACCTATGTCGCTCTTCCTGATAAATGACTTAAGTCAGAAATTAAGCAAGGCTCCTCCTCAAATACCATCAAATGCTTTAAATTTGAGAGTTTTCATTCAGATAAACTCTCACATTTTTAAAAAAGGGATTAAAAAAACCCCTCTGTGCATCACCTTGTTACTTTTCTGTTGGGAATGACACGAACAACAGTGGTGCCTATTGCATGGTCTATATTGTTTGAAATACAAGGACACTGAAGTCTATGTTTTTCCTCTGAACCGTGCACACTGCTTAGGATAATGAGTATGCTATCACGAATCACAGATAATTATTGCCTTATTCATAATGAAGCAACACATTGTCTTGTTTTGCTGGGACTTTTTTGAAGAAAATGGGGAGAAGCTATGCGCCATGTCTAAGGTGCTGTGAAAGCACAGCCTGCACTTGTCAGGATGGTGCACCCCTTCTCTGCTCACACCAACTGCAGATAGCTTCCCCTAAAAGGGAGATCTGGCACCTTCAGTCTCACCTGGAGGTATGTCAGGTTGCTTTTAATTTTCTGTGGATAAATTCTGATAAAATGGCTGTAACGTTTCATGATGATTTTGTTAGTGTTCGCACATATCTCTAAACCAAAACTGGATGTTTTAAAAAAACAAAGAAACTTACAAAAGACATCTCCTCTAAGGCTTTGCTCATGGTCAATTTGATTCTCAAAATTTTCCTTCTCCTCTTCGTCTGACTCTTCTGCCTCCTCTTCTGCAGTAGCTTCAGTTTCTTTCTCTTCTTCACTGTAGCTCCTACCAAGATCAATACCACCTTCATAGTCCAATAACTGCAAGTGGGTCTTAGAAGATGGTGTCACAGCTGCTTCTGGGATTGAATTCTTGACTATATCATGCTTTTTCACACTGTTTTTATGAGCAAGAAGTTTCTTAATTGTGTCCTTAGCTGATCCAGGGATTCTTGCAATTTCTCTCACTGACTTTTCAGGGACAACTAGAACAAAGAAAAAAATACTACATAATCCTCTAAGGAATCACTTAGCAATGACAACATTTATAAATGACACTATGGTGTCCTTTACAGTGTGCAGAGACCCATACAGACAAATTCTCGTATTTGAGACATTATGTTGGCCAGTTGTTCTGAACATTCTTTATACACAGAAAAATTATCAGTTTGCATGAAATAAGATTTTAGCTACACGTTATAAAAAACTTGATTACTACTCTTGCTCTAGGATAGTAAAACACAGGAGCCAGCCACTTAAGATTATTTAAACCACATCACTAGAAGCTTAAAAAATGGTTAGGCTACCATCTGTCATTAATATGCTAGATACGATCTGACTCAGAGCAAAAGAACAGACTAACTGATTTTTTTTATTCCCTTCCAGATGTACTCATCTGTCATCTGACAAAGACTGACAGCTCTTTGTGCTGATGGCCAAATTGTAGCTGAGGGTTAAAGTCAGGACTACTTCAGATCAGTTTATTCAAGGTATGTGTACAGTACAAAGTTCAAAGGAGAAATTACGGCAATGGTGCAGGTGTTGCTTTTTATCAGCAACATCAGCTGCTGCTCAGCAATGGTCGAGGAACATGACTGTGCCAAAAACTACATCTGGAAGGGTCTGCATGAAAAATGCTCAAGTTTTAGAGCAGACATAAATCTGAGGAGTTCTAGTTGATGAGGTGATCCCATCACCCTGTAAGAATTCCACTAGAGCTGACCAAATCCCTACCTGTCATAGTACTGGAGTTCCTGAGGAAGACAGTGTCCTTGGTATTTAAAGTCCATGGCAATGCGCTTTGAGGCATGAGACAACAAGGCTTTTGAATCACCTCAGGGTTTTATGACTGCTATGACACGGCCAGTCAGTATGCAATTACATACTCAGCCCTCTGGTGCTGGCCTCAGCCTGAATCTCTGTGAGTGAAGAGGAAGGACTGGATATCACAAACATATCATAAGCTACTAACAGCTTTCTGAAGTTTGAGTCCTTTATGTGAAGTACCTAGGAAATAATGAGAGCAGAGCAGTTGCAGTGTGCTGTACAAAAGCTCTTTCATAGAGGGAGACTGTTTCCACCAATGAGTCAGAAAAGCCTGATATACTGTTTCCCATCTTTGATTCTTTATCAGTATTGATGCTGCAGTACCTACAGTTGTTTTGGATTGCAGATGGCAGGGGAAGACAGCTTGTGCTGTCTGGTGATTGCATTATCAGGGCAAGAATATGTTCCTGATTTGATCCTCACTTTGTAATAACAACAACTTTAGAGTAGTATTTGAGGACAGATGCACTGGACTTTTAACCTTGAGTAGTACATTTTTCTGTGTGTTTCTTTTCATAGAAACATAGCAGAAGGAAAAAAAAACGCTTAATAAAATAGAATCAGTCAGTAAGAAAAGGAGAAAGTTCCCTGAATATATATTCTCTCTTGGAAAATACAATCCTACTATCATGAATTTGTCACTTTCATTTATGGCAAATGCAACTACATGCTACTTAGTATCTCCAGGAACAGAATCAGACTCTCTTGGTGTGCTCACTGGGGCATTCAGGTTTTTTGAGGCTGGAGTTGGAGGTATAAAGGAAACAGGTGCCAATAAAAGAATAAAACAAAATTAAGGATTTTGGTTTTCTTTTCCTTTGGATAAAACTTGTAGCCTTGCTTGTCAGATACTTGCAAGTAAACTCTTTACTAACACTCCACTAAGGGAGCCTTCTCTCTAGAGGATGATGTCATGAAGGATGTAAGGTTCTTTGGGCCTAAACTCAGAATGCAGCAATAAAAATTAACAGGAAAGCTTCATTCCAAACTAATTTCCTCTTGACAATCAGTAACAAAAAACTTCATGCTCTTAATAAATAGACTATGGAAATATTCAGGCCAGGACTGACTGCTCAGCAAACCTGAACATCTGCTTTTAGTTTCTGCTTTGAAGTCTTCTTCATGAAATGAAAAATCCCTACAGCTCAACATAGTAACCTCTGTGGTGTCAGAAAACCAATCTCCTTCTATGTGCAAAACTAAGAAGTGCAGAAATCAACTGACAGCATTGACAAAAATAGGGTGATTAAATTGTTTAAATCTGCAAGCTCATGGGAACAAAAAGTGATCACACCAAGCATATTCAAGGATATATCACTAGCATTCCTCTAATCTGCATTCAGTGTTAAAGTAGCTGGAGGTGTGGATTTAAGGCTTTTTATGTCTGCCCATAAACTGCAGGAGAAATAATCCAGTGTAAGGAGAGACTGCCTTAAACTCAGTCAGTTCTGTTGAACCCACTTCCCGTGGACTTGTCTGAATGAACAGTTCACCTTCTCTGACAATTTGGGATGCTACAGCTGAGGCAGTGATTCTTCATGACCCTTTGCCCTAAGACATGTATATAAATCCACAAGTGTTGCTCACAAACATTTATGCATTTATCCATCCATGTGACTGCACAGAGAATTTTGGAAAGTGAGAAGAAACGTAGTGCATTTATTCTCAGCTCTTCTTTATGTACCTAGTAAGAGAATATCTCAGCTTTGAGATGTAGTTTATTTCTTTGAGTTAGAAAGAATTAAAGCAAGAGGTGGAAAAAGGCAAATGGTGGCTGAGGGCTAAAAGTATATCTTTTCTGTCATCAGTTACTGTACAAGCTCACAGAACCACAGAAATGGCTTGGTGTAGGATGTTTAATGCTCAGGCTGTGAAAGCTGAGTTGGAAAAAATATAGATAGAGCAGATGTCAGCCCCCTGTCTCTCTGCTGCTTTGTTTGAAGGAGAATACTCAGGGGTGACACAGGAGAGGAACAGACGGTGATGCCTTTTCCTCCTGTGACCGCAGAGAGCCCCTGGATGGGGCTCGGAACGTAGTGGGGCTGCAACAGGAGACAGTTTGCTCTGCACTCCAGCAAGCACTGCTTCCACTTTCACACCTAGCAATGTATTTAAGAACCTGGTGAGAGACAAGCCTAGGAGATTGGCTTACAAATCCCTTTGCAGCTCTCTTTGTAGCTTCTGCACAGAAAAGTTGGAGAGAGGCTGAAGGATGCAGACAGCCACTTACATTTCCGAGAAGTCTGTAGATGTGAGTAAAGACTAGATCAGCGGGACATAACTTCAGAAGTCATTCTAAAAATTCTCAACCTCTTTTACACAGGCTTAAGAGAGTATGAAAGCTTTCACAGATAGGTTAAAGCAGTTTCTGAACTATTATTCTCTTTTCAGCAGCATGGAATATCAGCTACCAAAATATATTCCTAGCCTGTTTAATTTCTAAAATTCTTACCATCTTATTTGTTGAAGCATGGTTTGAGAAACCAAGGCAAGTTCATAATGCCAGACTGTGCTTAAATACAATAAATAATGTGCACTAAATACACTGGCCAGCAATGCTTCCAGTAGGAAATGTGGGATGACAGAAGCTTAAGTGTTATTTATTAAAGGATGACAGCAGCATTTGGCTCCATACTGAATTGAATTGTAAGGATCTCACCAATGATAAGACCAGAATCACTTTTTAAGCTTTAAAATGTTATTATGCCAAACCCAACTTTTCTCAAGACTGGCAAGTTAGTAAGAAAACAAAATCATATATGGAGTTTAAGGGCTACCCTATGAGCAAAAAAAAAGGAACATAATACATGAGGCACAGAGGAGAGTTGGCATGACTTTGTATTGCCGTTTAGATATCCAGCAAAACATAATGAAGAATAGCGACCTCTGCCTCCAGCTGGGCAATAACAAGAGTGCCATTGCTGAGGTCCTTAGAGTGATGCCTGAAGGTTATAGGCTTTAAGATAGTACTGCTTCTTCCTGTTATTTTGTAGTTTCCTACTAAAAACGTGACTCAAAAATAGGCTTTCCCCCAGGAATATTAATTGCTTATGGAACCTTGTGTGGCTCTAATCTTGAATAGAAGCTGAAATACACGTAGAAGCATGTGGTGAGGGAAATGTGGCTTTTCAGTGCACAACAGGAAACCAGGAAACTCATGATCCTGAGAACAGCAACAGATTGCAGCAAGATAGAGGTCAGATGTGGAAATGGCTAGGACACTTGAACACTTGAAAAGTTACAACTCCATGGTTTCTCAAATGAAATATGTGCTAGAGACAGTTCACAAACAGCCTCCCAATGACCATGCATGTAGGAGTGTCGAATAGCAAAAGGCTTCCTGAACAATCACAGTTTGTATCCATATGAGCAGCACTGTTTGCAGGCTAGTGTTTCAGAAGCTTTCTCCTAAGCCAGTATATTGCCATACAGATTAAATGAAAGCATTTTCTCTGCCTTCTGTGCAAAGGTGATTTTTACATTACCTCGCTTATTAGGTTATTTGGTAGCATGAGGAGATGTAACCATAGAAGTTTTATTCTAAACAGTGTGCATAGTTACTATCATTTCATACTCCAAAAATCAAGCTACATACTAAAATGCTTTTCATGTGTTATAGAAAGCTAATATTGCTGCCATGGTAGCCAGTTTGTTATATACCAGAGATAATTGCTATAAAGGATTTGTGCTTCCCTGTGAAAACAAGAGTTCTCACTCTATGGGAATAATTAAGTGTAGTACTGAGGACATATTTAAAAAGCCTTTTGTTTAGCTGCAGCACAAACACCAGGCCCATCTACTGGGAGCTGGGATGGGCTGCAGAAGCTGAAACCGCTGCCACCAAAAGAAATTTGAAGCTCCAGCCTCCAGCTCCCAAATTCCCAGGATGGTGTTCTCCTACTATTTAATCCAGTAGTAAAATTGCCTCTGGCTTCAGTGAAGCCAAAGTTTTTTCTACAATTGCTGTATGACATGGAAAACACTTAGCGTTTCGGTGTAGGCTGGTACATCTAATTGGTGTTTGTGTCACTGTTTGAAGAAACACTTTCCCTGACGGGAAAACACATATCCTGCTCAGTTACACTGATCAGGATTACAGTAAAAGTCAACTATTGAAACACTGAAGGTTAAAACAACCTCTTTTCTGTAAAAAAAAGTA